GTAATGTGATGTCATGTAACGTGATCACATTCCATGTTCCTGTTTCGATAAAAATACCGATAACAATATCCATAAACGTATAGAAAATACAACGATTGCAAAATCGATTAATTCATCAATAAATATAACAGTCATCAGTATCGACTATTGTACATACCGTTAACAATATAAATGACTAAATCGATAACAAAATCAATTATTTAATCGATTATTATACCGATAACAATATCCATTATTGTATCGATAACAATGTCGATTATTTTATCGATAGCAATATCGATTATTATATAGATAAAAATATAGAGTTTTATATCGATAACAATATCGATCTTCATCCTCATCCTTTTCTCCATATTTATCTTAATTTTTGCATATTCCTCTTCACCTTTACCTTAAAGTGTTTAAATTTACTTTCATCTTCGTTTTTGCCTGTACCTCTAGGCATATTTATTTTTATACCCGAGCGCACTTGTGCATAAGGGTATTATAACTTTGTTCACATAACGGTTGTTTGTAACAGGCAAAACGAATCGAGATAGATGTAGACAAATGTATACATAACTGATCAGAATGAAAAGAGAAATCGATTAAGCGGTGACTGTCTGTCCGTCCGTCCGTCCGTCCGTCCGTCCGTCCGTCTGTGCACACGATAACTCGATTAAAAATTGAGATATCTTAACGAAACTTGGTACGTGCACTTCTTTTGGGCGTAGGACGGATGGTATTGAAAATGGGCGAAATCGGACAATAACCACGCCTACCTCCCATATAACGGTAATTTTAAGAAATACGAAAACTGCGATATTTTAGTAACTACTGAAGCTAATTCACTCAAAATTGATACTTACAATGAGTTTCAGACGGAAAACATGAATATTATAATTTTTTGGAAAATGGGCGTAGCCACGCCCACTTATGGTTACATGTGCATATCTTGGTAACCGATGCACCAATTTCTTCCAAACTGGCACAGTTGTTGGCCTTAGCACAGCATACTAAATGGCTGAAAATTTTAAAAATCGGACAATAAGCACGCCTACCTCCCATATAACGGTAATTTTCAGAAAAACGAAAACTGCGATATTTTAGTAATTACTGAAGATAATTCACTCAAAATTGATATTTGCAAAGAGTTTTAGACGAAAAATAAAAATATTACAAAATTTTGGCAAATGGGCGTAGCCACGCCCACTTATGGTTACATGTGTATATCTTGGTAACCGCTACACCAATTTCTTCCAAACTTCGCACAGTTGTTGGTTCTGGTACAACATACCAAATGGCCGAAAATTTCTAAAATCGGACAATAACCACGCCCACAACCCCTATAACGGTAATATCGAGAAATACAAAATCTTCGATAAATCAGTAAATATTGAAGCTTATTTATTTCAAATTGATGGTTGCAACAATTCTTTACCAAGAAATACGTTTATGACAAAATTTTGGAAAATGGGCGTAGCACCGCCCACTTGTGATATGTATCTCGCTAACCGTTCTAGCAATTTGTACCAAGCTCGGTATGGTTATTGTGCTTGCCACATAAAAGCAAACCGTTGAAAATTGTTGAAATCGGACTAAAATTGGGCCGCTTTTCATATAACGGTAAATTTCAAAAATGCTTGAAATTTCAATATTTCGAGATTTAAGGACGCTAATTTACTTAAAATGTATACACCACGGCTTATCATGTAGCGGTAGCTTTCGGAAAGGTGGAAAACATATATTTAATACTTGCGCCGGGTATTTAATGTTCGGCTCCGCCCGAACTTAGACTTTCTTACTTGTTGTTTTTATTTTCAAACCGCTAAACCACTGAGATCCATTTCCATGTGCATTATTCCCCTTGAATTTGACAATTTACTCCCAACCAACCGACTGCCGCCAAAGAAGTTTCACTTCATAAATTCAAGAAATGTTCTTACCCTTTCAGTTACCCTAATTCTTATGTATCTGTCATTGTCTCCATTTTCGTCTTTATCTTCACTTTTGCCTTCTCTCTTTTTGACTTTATCGTTATCATTTATTTCTTCATCTTCATATTTATCTTTATTTTAAAGCTTAATTTCAAATGTGTAGTGAAACAACAGGCGAAACATGTCAAATTGAACATGTTGCAGCAACATCTATACACAATTCGAAAATGTTTAAACGACGGTTTTGGCCGTAATTTTCAACCAGTTCAACGGTGTTCTTGGTTTTGAAATCGGTTCGGTAGAATCGCCAAACGAACGGAGACAAAATTTATGTTAGCGTATTAATATATAGATAATGGACCCAGGACCTACTCTTTTTTTTTTGTAAGAATGTCGAAACTATGTCTTTCGGATTAATATTTCTCTTGCTGAAATACTCCATACTGGCCCTATTATATTGACTTCACATGAAAATTTTGATATTATCTTCTCTTGTAAAAATTCTTTGTAAGCGTTTCCGCGTCTCCTTTTAAATTTTATATGCATTCAATACTCACTTGAAATATACAAACACAATAATCGCCAACGTCAGTGATACTAAGCTGATGGTGTAGCCAATGTAGTAAATTATCGTTGGCAATTCGACGATTGGCTCGAATTCAGGTACAGTTGAGGGGGCGGGTAGATGCATGCATAAATCATAATTAGTGTACTTCTCCCATGTGCCGTTCGCATGGCAGTATCGCGTCGCATTTTCTAAAAAAAAAAA